AGTAATAAATGTAATCAAACTGTCAGTCAGGCCATGTTTATACTGCTGAACACGTAACTCTATTGATTTCTCTTTCAGTTGAGACTTATATTTCTCCAGAGGGATGTTTCCTTGCTTTTTCAGTCGGCACAGCTCCTTTTCCACTTCAGCCAAGTTTTTCCATGGCTCCCCTTGGAGTCTCAGCTTTTCCCTCTTGTACTTTGCCACATCTTTTATGTGTACAGTGATTTCCTTGGCATATTCACTGGCATGCTGACATTTCTTATTATCCTCATCTACCTGGATGCCTAATTGACGTCCGGTCTCAGCCACGGCTTCTATACTCATTCTCTTGGGAGAAGACGTCATTACAGCTGCTATTGCAGACTGCAGAGCTTTTACATAAGCCGCCTCATTTGTGGCACGTCCTTTCTGCAGCGCATGTGAGTTGTTCAGTTTCAGCCCTGGGGCCAACTTTTTCAGGAATGCCAGTGTTTCCTTGGACGTCACAGCCTGATTATTAACCATGAAGTAGTATTTAGTGGCTGATCCCTGCAGAGATGATAAGAGCGTGTATTGTCTCTCGTTGATGCTCTCAGTAACTATGAACACTGCTGAGGAGATCTCTGTTAAAAAGCTGAACTGTGGCAAGTGGGACTCTATGTCTCCGCGCAGGTTTGCAACCGCAACGGGCTCTGGGAAAATATCTGAATTCTCTGTCCCACTAGGGAAATACCAGGAAATCTCGACCAGCCCATCTGCGATTTCCCGAGGGACGTTCCCAGACTCCATGTCCCGATGCATAAAGAAATCGTGGTGCTGCTGGGAGAGGCTGAGAATCTCATTGAGAAGTTTGGACTTGGAGAAGTTGCAGCTCCCCAGCCGCACAAAGGAAATGGTTGGCATTGACGTGTGCACCAGGCTCTCCTCTCTGAACCCTCTGCTCTCTGCCAGGGAGTGCGGCCTCCACTTCCTCACAATGTCCCTCATGGCCCACAGCATTAGGGTGCACTTGGGGGTGTCGAGGGCAGGTAGCAGCAGAGGGAGGGCAAACTGGCACATGGACATTTTGGACAGGATCTCCTGCTGTAGGAAACTGTCTGAGCAAAGCAGCACAGCACAGAGAACATCGAGGGGGTGCAGGGAAACTCTGGTGTCAGTGTCACTAAAATTCAAAATATCATCTAACCTCTGTTTCTCCTCACTGCCTCCTTCATCATCAGTTGCCCTGTGCACAAGGCTTGTGTTTCTGGCCATCATATTCAGAGCCACCAGTTTCCTCAGGAAATGCCAAGGTAAATCTGCAAATGTCTCTGGAGTTCCATTCTTTAGACTTTCCTGGCTGATTTCAAGGACATCACTCACCCTGAGTTTCCTGCTCAGATGCTCCTGTAGTTCTAGCTTACGAAGGAGTTCTTGAAAAGCTTCCCCCTTCCCTGGAAAACAAAATGAAAAGATGATCTGAACAGCTTTCTGAAGACAGGGATTCCCAAACAGGGAAATCAGGGATTCCCAGACAGGGGGGAGGGATAGCTCAGTGGTTTGAGCATTGGCCTGCTAAACCCAGGGTTGTGAGTTCAATCCTTGAGGGGGCCACTTGGGAATCTGGGGCAAAATCAGTACTTGGTCCTGCCTAGTGAAGGCAGGGGGCTGGACTCAATGACCTTTCAAGGTCCCTTCCAGTTCTAGGAGATGGGATATCTCCATTATTATTTATAAACAGAAACTTTTGTTATGTGGCAGTTCATGTTGTAAACTTTGAGTACTAACTTAATGGAAAAATATAATGGTAACTGGCAAGGAGGGGCATATGGGACTAAGACCTACCCATTAGAGCCCGCTCCTTTATTTCTTTAGACAAATAAATACTTTGTTTCACATTCATTTCTTTCCCCTCTTTTCTCCAGAAGCACAGTGAAGAGAGCAGCCGGAGTTGGGATGGGGAGGAGGGACTCAAGGCCTCTAGCCCTTTCAGTGCAGCACATGTGGAGTGTGTGGACCTGCCACCTGAGGAGGCAGGGGCTGAGATCAGATATGATCTACAGAAAACACAGCTAACACAAAACTTGAAAAGCAAAGAACTTAAAAGATGAACACTGCACAACCTCTTTTCCTCCAACCAGAGAGACATTTTAACCCTACCATAATCCTCATACCGCTCAGAAAACTGCAAACTTAAAGTCTGTCCCCAGTGTAGTAGAAGGAGAGAGCCTGGGACATGAGGCCAGGTATGAGGCTTGAGGCCTAAACTAAAGTAATACTCAGGCCCTGCTGATATAAAGCAAAATTCGCAAGAGTCAAACTATGAGCAAAAGTCAGGCCCTGTAACAAAAACACACCTACTTTCAAGTTCACAGAACTTCGCAAGAAAAGGACTGGCACTGCAAAAACACACACATTCCTAAGAAGTGCTAGGCACAGGACACTCACGCAATCACATTCCAGAAGAGTGGTACCAGAACACCCCGATATCAAGTATGGTACAAACACACTCCCAAAGATAACGAGACCCCCCCTTTAAGATAAGGTCAGGAT